CTGCGCTCCCGCCCGCGCCCCGGCGCCCTGGCCCGCAGTTCCCGTCCGACTGCAGAGCCGCCGCCTAGAGTCCGGCCCGCCGCGCCGCCCGCGCCGGTTCCTGGGACCCGGGCAGGGCCGCCTCCGAGGAGCGGGCCTCCACACACCCTGGCTGTCCGAGGAGAAACCTCGCGCTTCCTCGCCCCCTTCCGTGCCGAGAGCGAGACGTGGACAGGCGCCGCGTAGATCCGGGGGAGGCTCCCAATTGGAACCAGCCTTCTGGCTGCGCCACTGCCCTCTCCCGCCCCGATGTCGGAAGAGCACCCCTGGCCCCTGGCCCCTCTTTCAGCCTCGAGCGCTGTGAAGGGCAGGCTCGCAGCCGCGGGGAGAGCTGAGGACAGGCCTCCACTGGTCTCAGGATGAGCGAAGAGTTTCATTTCAGCTCGGGGTTGTGAGGGCATCCTGCGCGCAGTCCGCTCTCTGATGTTGGGTGGGGCCCGTCTGCAAAGGTGAGGATGGATTGGAAAGGCCCGCGGGCTGCACCTTTGCACGTTTGGAGTCTTCTCTCGCCTCTGCCTGCTCTGCCTTTGTCCTCGGGGTTCTTGGAGGCCAGGCCCAAACGCACACTAGTTTCTCTGGTCTCACTTTCCCAGACTTCCTCTCACGGGCTTCTCCTCCACCACCCTCACCTCCCAATATCTTTTTGCATTAGGGATCCCACAGGACCCTGAAGGAATGTCAAGGTGAGCCTCACCCCTTGCTCTTGGGAAAGCCAGAATAAGATTAGATCCCCATTTCCCGATTCCCATTAGAACCACCTTTCCAGACTCCCAGTCCAGCACTGTTTACATTAAAGCAGTGGGTGTTCCCGGGAGCCCTAGCTCTGGAGCTACCCACTAAAAGAGGGTTTCAATGCCAAAGGGGTTTGTCAAGGTGCTATCTCGCCTTCTTGGAGATTCACGATGCTCATTAGCATATCAAAGACTTTGAGAAGTCCCACTATAAAAGAAGCCCAAGTAATTTAGTTTACAGTGTTACCTGCCTCTGGACCTGGACCAATTAGATTTTGCCACCTAAGACTTCCAAGCATCCCTGTGCTGGCTTGGCTGTCATTCATTCCTAAGGGATCCAACTCATTGGCTATGGTATGATTGAAGATCTGGAGTGCTCCTTCTCTTTCCCAGGGAATTTCTCTAGCAGGGGGAGGGCTTGCCTCAGTGGGGGAGAAGATAGCTGTCCCTGCCAGGCCCGCAAGAGACCTGGGAATTGGTGGACCTGAACATTCCTCTACATTGTTTGAAAAATGAAGTCAAGGTTATCCAGATGGCTTCCCAGTCAAAAGGAACATTGCCTATATGAGATGCTGGCATTGACCGTGAGCAACTGGCAGGAGTGGGTCTCACTCAGTGAAGAGAGAAGAAAACTCCAAAGTTGGGGTGAACAGCTGGCCCAGCCTCTGTTAGGTAAGGTGCTTCTTGACTTTCTGGACGGGTCATAGGCCTTTGAATAAAAAACACAGAGCCCCCTTTGCTGAAAGATAAGGGGTTTTTATTCAGGGAGCAAGTGGGAGGGGTAACCACCACAATGCCCAAAGGCTTGTACCAGTTCAGCCTTTTTTCTACATTCTGAAAAGGTCTGCTCTTGGAAAAAGCTCAGCCCTGTCTGGATTAGAAACTAGAATAAGAGGAGGCCAGAATGTGCTTTGGGGAGCGTGTTTTTAAAGCTTAGGTAGAGAGGGTGAGGCTTTTCTGTTGTAGCTATGAAGATCTGGGAGCTGCACAGTGCGGAGCATGGAGGCATTTATGCGGGGCACTGCTTGGAGCACTTAGACGTATTTCTTTCATTCTTTCGGCCCTACTGAGGTGAGTTGTGTTCTTGCTCCCAAGGAGGCAGAGGAGTGACAGAGAGGTTAAGTACCTTGTCCAGAGCCTCCCAGACGGTGTGATGGGTGGAGCTAGGATCTGGACTCTGGCAGTTCGGCCTCCTCAGGACGGGGCTGTACTCTCTAGAGTAGGGGGTCAATACATGTTAGAGACTGTTCATGTGGCTACTTTAAAAACAACCGTGGTGAAACATACATAGCATAAAATTGACCATGCGACCATTTTAAAATGTGCGGTTTGGTGGCCTGAAGTAGGGTCACACTGTTGTGCAGCTGTCACCACTATCCAGCTCCAGAACGTTTTTCATCTTGCAAGACTGAAACTCTGTATCCGTGACAACGGTGGTTATTTTTGTTGTTGTCGCTACTGTTATTTTCTCTCCTTCGGGAAATCCTAGAACACTGAACCCTTCACTGTCTCATTTAGGCTGGAGTCCGGCCGCCTTCCTCCAGGCGGGACACCTGTTCTCTCAGCCCCCACCACTCGTGCCGGCCAGAGCGTGTGGCTGGCTTTTGCTGGGATACTTGGAGGTGCCTCGGGTGGCCTATGACTTTGGTTCTTCTGTTGCAGGTTTCCACGTTGCTGAGGCCACGGAGATTCCCGTAGCGGTCATGCCGACCTCTCCCGGGGCTCGCTTCCCTTGGCAGGGGACAGCATTCTGGGCTGGGCCAGCAGAGGGCTGCAGAGTGGGGAGAGTGGATGACCTCTGCCCGGCAGCTTCCCTTCAACATTGTCCAGTGGAAGATCCAAGATGCGTGAAGATTCATTTTACCGTCACACAAGAGAAATTCTGATTCTCCTTGTGCTGTGACTTGGGCCCAAGATTCCAGACACATGGAACTGAGCTATGCACCTCCGTGCCTTAAACAGTGCGTTTTAGCTCCAGCTTTTGTTCCTTTTCTCTTTTTTCAGATCACCATTGAAGTTGCATCCTCAGCTCAGAACCAGCCCCCTGAGGATCTCTTCTTAACCCCCCCAGCTCATGGTGCTCTGTCTGTGGTCAGGTGACCTTACTCAAGAGTAGATGTCTCCTTGGCCTTCATGGTACCTATTCATTCAGATGTGCCTGAATCATTCCAGAGCTCACTGGCTCTTCTAAATGTGCCTTCCTGCTTGGCCTCCGGCTGTTTCTCCAGATGTGAAAAGGACATGTAAAACAGCCCCCACACCCATTCCCTCCTCCCCCTGTGACCCTGTACCATAGGAATGGCCACCTGACCTGGCCCAGAATTTTTGAATACTGGAGCCAGCCTCCTTGGCCTTCCTCATTAGACTCCAGGACTCAGTCCAGCTTGAGACCACTGTGGACTCCTACCAGTCCAAAAGTCTAGGACCACTTGCAGATCCAAGAGAGGATTTTTCTAGTGTTCTACAAAGGCCAAAAGAGAGGGTGGGAGTGGGAGGGGTGTGGGCCAGTAGCGAGAGGGGACCGATGTGCCTCATTTAATAGTTTAGTGGTGGTTACTAATTTGCTTTTCGGAATAAAGTTTGGTTTGTCTGATGTTGGTGTATATGTCTTCTTTCCTGGCCCCCTGCAGTAAGCCTATGTACTGGGTCTCCCAGCCTCTCTCCATCCTCTTCCGATTTCCTTCTGGGAGGGGAAAAAAAAATGAGTTCACAGGTTTTCAGTGCATTAGGGCAGGACACAGGAAGCAGAGGGAAGAAAACTGCCTGTGTCTGCCCCTGACAAAAGCTGGTGGGAATTGCAGAGGCTCCTAGCCCAGCTCTCAATGACCCCTCTGTTTTTGGAAGCTCCACTCCCTGATGGGCAGGCACAGAATGACTATGGTTATGGAGCCAAAGGGTCCTGATCTAGTCTGACTCCCTTACTTTGCAGAAAGGGAAATGAGCCCCAGGGAGGTGTGGTGCCTTGCCTGGTGTTACAGAGCTGAGAGGGGGTTGAGTGGGGTCTCCTGGGGTTCAGGCTCCGATGCAGACCATAGCACCTGCTCTGGTATTGCCTCCTGGACACACCCCACCTGGTTTCCCCGGATTCCAGCTACAGCCTGATGAATAGGTGCTTTGGAAAGAGCAGGAAAGCAGAGTTAGCAGGCTTCCTTGCCAGTTCCTCCCTCCTGTGCCCCAAACCTCAACTCTGCAGCCAGAACATAGAATTCTACGGGCAGATCTCAGAACTCACTTAGAACAGCTCCAGGCAGGGATCGGATGCTGGGTGTGTTGCACACCCACTATCTTCCAAAGCACCCTCCCCGGCACAATAAACACACACACACACCCTCTTCTTCATGGTTTGGATTTCCAGGGTGGAGGAAAATGCCAAGGACCCTGCCTTATTCCCCTCTTCCTCTGTGTCTATTCATGAATTTTGCGCAAAATAAAAAGTGGCCTCCCTTTATGCAAAGGCTGATAAGCCCCCTGCTGTTGTAGCTCTGTGGAGAATTTTGCAATTGAAAATACGTTCCTACTTGCGTGACCTTTTTTGATCCAGTTAACAGTCTTAATAGTTGGCATTGTCACCCCCATTTAATAGGGGAAATACAGCCTCAGAGAGGAGAAGGACCTTGTCATGGTCACACAGTTGGCTAGTGGCAGGACTGGGACTGGAAGGCAGATGTTCTCTCACTCCCCTTGGCAGCTGGTAAGTCCTTGTGGTCCTCTGGCAGGCTCTGAGGTTTAGGTGGAGTTTGGTTTTCATTCCTGCAGATCAGGTGTTCAGGACTGGTCTAATCTGACATTTCCTGTTTAATGCTGAGGGCACTTTGAAATAAGACACGGCTCTTCAGGGACATAATTGAGTCTGGGGAATCTGAGGGATTTGCTCATTTATGTTTATTATTTTTCCTGCTTTTCTAAGGATGGGGGTGGGGTGGTCAGTGGTGAGAAAGGAAAGCTAATAAACCTACATTTTTGCAGGGATAAAAGGAAAGGATGTGAGAGAGAAAGGTCTGGTTAGCGCTTTTTATTCATGTTTGTATTGTTTCATTTGTTACAGTAGTTATTTGTTAAATAAAATACCTATATATATCCATTAAAATATAATAACAATATATACCCATTAAAAATTAAACTGTACAGAAGGGTACAAACTACAAAGAGAAGCCATTCAATCATCCTAACCTCAAACGCTAGAGATAAACCATTGTTAACTCTCCCTTTTTTTTTAAGGGTTTTATTTATTCATTTGAGAGAGAGAGAGAGCATGAACAGGGGGGAGAGGCAGAGGAAGAAGCAGAGTACCCGCTGAGCAGGGAGCCAGATGTGGGGCTCCGTCCCAGGACCTGGAGATCATGACCTGAGCTGAAGGCAGATGCTTAACCAACTGAGCCACCCAGGTGCACCTTAAATCTCCTCTAATTTTTATAACTAATCAAACATACATGGATATGTGTGTGTGCACCTGCGCACACACACACGCACACACACATATATACATTTGACTCTTTTACAACTTGCTGTTTAAAATTAATGATAATATAGTTCTAACCCTTTCTAAATGTCCATATAAATAGTCGGGGACTACAAGAATTTTGTGTACTTTCTGGAACGTTTATAACTTTCCCACATTGGTTAACTTTGTCACTCCCTTGGCTGCTTCCTGTAGAAATCTTAGTAAAACCCATAAAAGGGGGTGGGTTCTTTTTTGCAGATGAGTAAATAGAGGCTTAGGAGGGGAAGTGAAGTGACTCTCCAAGTCTGTGCCAAGAGTAGCAGGGAGCGGAGGGAGCACTGGGGTGGCCGTATTCCACCTCATAGCCAGTCTTGGGGGAGAGGAACGCCCGGGACCAGTGGGGGCAGCTGAAAAGAAGTGAGGAGGGCCTGAGGCTCTCTGGGTGCTGTAAGGCAAGGGAGAGGTACGCTGAGGTGGCCAGAACCCAAAGGAGAGCACCTGACATAGCCAGCAGGAGGGTGCCGACCACCCACGGCAACCTCAAGCTGTGGAAATCCCGGTCAGGCTCCTAATCAGAAAGCCCTTGCGCCCTCCCTGTTCCATGACCCCATTCCTTTGGAACTGGATGGCTATTTGGGAGCTTGCTGGCACCAGGGCTGTGACATTCTTTCCTCAACACTGAGGTGAGGGCAAGCTCCCAGAGGCAGTGCCTCTGCAGATTCCTCTCCATCTCCCAGAGGTGGAAAGCAGGTTCTCCTTGCTGCCATCTCCAGGGGTCCTGAAGGGGGCGCTCTGATGCCCCAGTTGTAAAGCATTTCTGAGTCGGGTTTGGCAAGAGGGGAGAGAGGGAACTAACTTTATGAAGTGTCTGCGGTGAGTCAAGAACAAGTTGGATGTTATATAACATCACTTGTCATCCTCACAAGCCCATGAATTATTAAATACCCCCATTTGCTAGACGTGGAGACAGGTCAGGAGGGTAAACTGATTTCCCCAGGTCACTTACGTGACGGAAACAAGATTCAAACTCAAGCGTGTGCTCCCATGCCTTGCAGTTTCAGGGGACCTCCCAGCCAAAGACCCCACCGAGAGCTACGCTGGGTTTTCTAATAGCTGTGTTTTGAGCTAAGGCAGGAAGGAAAGACTGTAAAGAAAGTGATATCACTACAAATCTGAATTATGTCAGCTACTCCCTTCCTGGTTTACAGTGAAGTTAGGTTTAACCAGCTCACTGTGCTGAAGCCACCCTCCTGGTTCCTGGAGACCGTCTCTCTGTCTGCCTGAGGTAAGAAGGACTCAGAGTGCCCCTCCCCTCAGCCCTCCCTCCTCCTGAGACCTTGTGCCATCGGTATGGCCACCTGACCTGGTCCCAAACTTGGATACGGAACCCTCTGCCTTTCGAAATCTTGTTCTGTACTCTGTGCTGGCTCCTTCTGTGTCCCCTAGTTAATATGAGCTGTTAATATGACTGGCTCTGATTTTGAGCTGAGCTCCGCCTGTGACGTCCGAAGCGAGGCCAGTCTCTTATTAGTTGTCTGTTCTTAGGCAGTTTACTAAAGCTCTTCATCTGTTTCATCGCTCCCTAAACGGGGTTCATGCTAGTAGCTGCCTCCCTGGTCCGTGGGAAGGCCTTACTGAGACGAGGCACACAGAGCAGAGCGCCCCGGCAACTAGTCAGTGCAGGTCAGCTCTCAGCCGTGTAGTGTTGTTGGGGGGACCTCAGGTGATGTTTGTAAAGTGCAGACCTGAGCCACAGTACGTGCTCATCACTGTTACTTTCCTTCTCCCCGACTCCACGCTGGCTCTCTTCCCACCTGAGAAATGACAGTCTCACCGGCCACGAATTGATCCCTCCACTGTTCTTTCCTGTGGTCTGAGTTGAGCTTTCTTGAAAGATAGCACAGAAGTGTTTTTTTTTTTTTAATTTTTATTTATTTATTTGACAGAGAGAGACACAGCAAGAGAGGGAACACAAGCAGGGGGAGAGGGAGAGGGAGAAGCAGGCCTCCGGCGGAGCAGGAAGCCGGACGCGGGGCTCGATGCCAGGACCCTGGGACCATGACCCGAGCCGAAGGCAGACGCTTGACGACTGAACCACCCAGGCGCCCCGAAAGATAGCACAGAAGTGTTAAAAGTGTCAGCTTGTCACCTTCTCCTCCCAGCCATCCCTAGGGACTAGTGAACTTGCAGGGTTTGTTTTTTAAGTTAAAATGATGAACTACCAGGGTGCCTGGCTGGCTCAGTTGGTAGAGCATGTGACTCTTGATCTTGGGGTTGTAAGTTCAAGCTCCATGTTGGGTGTAGAGGTTACTTAAAAATAAAAATCTTAAAAAAAAAGATGAACTACCTCAGTGATTTTTTTTTTAACCTCAATGATCTTAACATAGGTGGATGGAGTCTTTTTGCAGTGACCATGATAGTGATGATAATAATATTGTTGATAATGGCATTAATAGTAATAAAGATTACACAATGTCCCTGTATTCTTGTATTCACAGTTTGTGAAATATTTTTACATCTCCTTAATTCCATCCTTATATGAACTGGTAAACAGTTCAGATAATAACTGCATTTTGTAGATGATGCTCAGAAGGGAGAAGAGTTTGCCTAGGTGTTTTTTTGTTTTTAGAGAGAGTGAGAGAGAGAGAGTCCGCGTACTCACAAGGTGGGGGAGAGGGGCAGAGAGAGAATCTTAAGCAGGCTCATTGCCCAGCGTGGAGCCCAATGCGGGGCTCCATCTCATAACCCTGAGATCATGACCTGAGCTGAAATTAAGAGTCAGACGCTTAACCGACTGAGCCACCCAGGTGCCCCTAGATATTTCTTTTTTTAAGCAGATGTATTAGGTTATACTTAGTGTACATTAAACTGCATATAATTTAAACGTACACTTTGATAAGTTTTGACATATGTATACACTCGTGAAACCATCACCACAATTAAGACAGTAAACATATCCATAATGCCCAAAAGCTCCCTCGTGCCCCTTGGTAATTCCTTCTTATCTCCCCCACCCCCAAGCAACCATTGATCTGCTTTCTGTGACTACATATTAGTTTATAATTATAATATATATGTATGGTATGTGCTTTTTTTTTTTTCTGGGGTGAGGGGAGGTATTTGGCTTCTTTTATTATTTTGAGATTCATTTG